TAGCATCTTCGTCCTTGTGACTTTGACTAAAGCTTTTGGAGGCACTGGTACAAAATCCTGGCATCGTACTTCCACCTTCTTCTTGGGAACCTCACATATCCTCCCCTCAATAGGAATTTCTTAAAAAGTAATTTTAAAGTCAAAACCTCCAAGTTTCAAGATCCCAAAGTTAGGAATATCTAGGCCTCTGAGCTCCACCAAAAAAAATGACAAAGAAATATGAACTTCAAGACCAATCTATTTTAATGAGCTTCCTACAAATATTAACAACTTCCTTAAAAACCTTTGAGGACCAGGCCATAAGAGGAATACCTGAGATAGAAAACCAAGAAGCACGTGGTTTAATCAAAGAATGTTCCATAGCTGGGACCCATTTTTCTGCCCCTAGGTCCAATCCTCGAAAACACCATAGCCGCTGACGAATCACCCTGTTTGCCTCTTCTTGAGACTCCAGAAAGCATACTATTCTTCCACCTGGAAGTGCTCTACACAAGCTTGTATACTTAGTCCATGATTTATCAACCCAAGATTGAAAGGCATCAATCTCTCCAAACTTAGATTTGAAACTGACAATCACCGCATAAAGGATTCTTTTTTCCGTCTCCTTAAACACATCATCTCGAACCACAACAATGGGATTCCTAGGGCACAAGGATCCCTCCATGCATCGGAGAACCTAAACATAGGAAGGTTTCTCACCGATCATCTCTTAGTATTTTTACCTAATTACCCTAGAAATGCATGTCCCCAAAACTACTGCCACAAATTGCTTCTCCCAAACTTAAAGACCTTTTAAACAAACACAGGTATAGGAGGAGGAAGAGAGATCAATACCCATCTGAGTTATCATTATAGGTTCTACAAAGATAAAAATCAGAGATAAATGGTATAAACTAATAAAGAGCATGGAATTAAATAGCAAGAACGACGTGTTCTCAAGGTCTCCAATTATAAGAATACGCACCAAGGTAAAGGAACAAGAAGTGCTCTGTTATAGTAGCGCCATTGTTGCAATAGAAGCCAAAAGTACACAAGAGAGCAACAATAAAAGGTACAGATTATCACCACAACAAACTCGATTCTTGCATTGCTTCAATGCAAAAAATCACAGATAATGGAGAATAGAACTCTTACTTCACAATCACCAAGATAATAAAAAGATCCCAAACCATAATTTCAGAGTGCAAAAGCATATATAAACCTCAAAAAAAGGTCGAAACTGCCATTGTTCCAAAGTTCCAAACTCCACCCATAAACCATACACCTTTGTCATTTAGTTATAGTAAACCAACCCCATTGTTGCAAGTAGACAAGCACCACTGTAAATGAGAAGGAAGACTTCAAGAGAGAGGGTTTTAAATACGTGAGGGTTTTTGAGAGGAAAGCAGTCCAAGAAAGTGTGGGGTTACACAGGGGTGACTGGGATCTTTGTGACAGAGGGGATGGGCGAAGGGTTTCAACAATGGTGTGAGGGTTTCTGAGATTGATCGCTGAAGAGAGGGAGCGAGAGATTGCGGACGATATACAGGGGTATTCTTGATAGATACACCTATATAAGTGTGGAACTGATGCCGCTTCCTATGAGATGAACTCATCTCTAGAGCAATTATGAAATCGAGATATAAACATAAGGCCCAAAACGTGTTGGCAACTAAAAAACACCAGACTTGAATATTGTTTGTGAGTTATACTAGTGGTATGTTAGATAATCAACCTGGTTCAAAGCTATATGCTACCACTGTACTTGATGGACTTTGTAGTGTACAATCTAAGTGAAAGTTCAAATCGAAAGATACTTTCATGGTATGCAAATAATATGTTTCATATGTTTTGTTTTGTTATTTTGAAATAGTGGAGGAAATTGTTAGTTTTTTTTGTTTGAAAACTGCTTAAGTGTATTTCAAAACAGCACTTTGATTTTATTATTCTTTCCTAAAATGCCTCTATAGAGAGAGGAAGATATGAGTTTGAGTCTCACATGAAGAGGAGAGTGTTTGTTGATGTGTATTTAAGAGTACGCATATGTGTGTGAGGGCATGTGCGAGGGCGTGGGCGCAAGGGCGCTTGATGGTGTACTTTGCACTTCGCATCAGTGCATGAGGTGCTCCTCGCTCGAGCATGTGTGCGGGTTGGGCTCATGACTCATCATCATTTTGTGAGCCAGGCTCATAGGGGGATCCAACATTCATCTAGCCGTTGATGCGTGTAGGACATCCAACGGTACTCTATAACAAGGGCTCTCCTACCCATACGAGTTAGAGCTTTTTTAGCACACTTTAGACCTCCCAATATACAATTCTCTGCAATTTCAGCAAGCAAACCAGTGCGCTAACTCTCTCTCTATTTGATTTTGTCTCTTTCTCTCTAATACATCAAGGCTTAGTGTTTAGTGTGTGGGTCCAAGCTCGGGTGCATAGAGCTTAGGAACATTGTAAAAAACCTCTACGTTTTCCTATATCCCGAGGACAACTTGCCCTTTTTATGCACGTCAAATTCTATATCGAAGGGGGGCAAATATCGTCTTGAGATAGCGCTCCTCTTTTGTGTACCTTTTATGGGGTCCTCCTAGAGCTCTTGCAATTGCCAGTGAGGGGAGAGCTATGAAAAACACGCGAGAGAGGGAAGATAGGAGTGAAAACAGGGAGGGTTTTAATGGGAGCCAGAGGAAAGAGGAGGGTTCCAAGGGGTAGAGAAAGAAATTAAAGCTTTACATGTGACCCTACCCACATATAACGTATATGTGACTCTTGTTCTTAGCCGTCAGATATGAGTAGATGGCTGGAATGGCTTGGGTCACTATGTGACAAGTTGTCTCTTGAGCATCAGATTGTGATCCAATAGCTTAGAGTGTTTTATTTTATTTTTTATTTTATAAATTATTTTGCAATGACATTTGGGGCATGCATATCACCTGATAGGGGACATGATAAAATTAATAAAAAAAATATTTCCTTTGATGAAAAATTATCAAAATACTCATGAACTTGTTAGGACATTTTGGTCATTTGTTTTTATGAAAAATATATGTTTTTTATTTTTCTAGGTATATGCCAGTAATAAGATGCGACGCTCCAAAATTCATTAAAAATATTTTGTAGAAAAAATAAAAAAATAAAAAGCATTTGGCATGACATTATGACATGAGCACTCCTAACCATCCATTCAAATTGAACAAGTAAGAAATGTGGTTACATATAATTTATATGTTGGTGGGTTACATAGAAAGCATTCTCGAGAAAGGAAGGTAAAAAGGTCAAAAAGTAATTCAACATAAATTTCATAATAAGGTTCTCCAAAATACCAAGGATCATTCCCTATTTCTATATTTTCCTCTTTTTTTTTAGATTTTTTTAAAATATCTTTGACCATAAATCAAATTTTCTAAGGAATTGTATATTATGAGACCATTTATCTTTGTTACAAGGAGGCCACAATTACTCATAGCCGCTAGATGCTAAATTGGATGGTTTGGGATTTGTCATGAAGTTTGAGAATATTTTTTGGAGCTTTGAGTCTAGTAAATGACACTCTTATAACCACCCGATTTGAATTATGATGAATAAGAGTAATTGTGAACTGTGTATAAAAAGTAAATGGTCTATTTGTATACTTTTCATTTTTCTAAAGAAAAAGGTTTATATGCAGGTATATGCCTGTATATGAACTTTGGACGATGGTTATTGAAAAACCATCTTTCAATTACCATAGAAGGTGGTGATTGAGAGAATGATTGAAAGAATATCTTTCAATCACCACCAAAACTCATTTGGGCATGCCCACATAGTAACAACGTCCTTTTTTAAGCCAATGTCATATAATTTTTTTTGAATTTTTTGGTCTTTGATTTTGTTTTACTTTTATAGTTTTTATTTCATTTTTAAACAATTATTTTATTTCATTTTTCGGGGCCTATACACTACTTGCGAGAGTCCACTCGAATTCAGCGGATTTACTCAGGTTTGGCCAGGGCCAAGTCCAAGGTGTGAGCTGAGTTTAAAAATAGTGAGATTTTAAGAAAATGTGAGAAGTGTGTGAGCTCTTAAAGCGTTGTCACATAGGTATTCTTCAGGGTGGCAATAGATAGGGCCATCAGCCTAGCCTTCAAAACCCAGGTCTTGTGCCACAAAATGTGGCCCCTCGCTCACGCCGGCTGTAGTCTTCTTTTTCTTTCTTTTTATCTTTGTATTCCCGACCTAGAGAGGGCTAGGGTTGGGCATGGGCTAAAGCCTCTTCGACCCGATCTAGGTTGGCTTGGCTCAATCCCGCCCTACAAGGATCAAAGTTGAGCTAAGGCCAAGTTTGGCTTGCCCTAACCCCTTTCCATTCATTTAGGAATAACGACAAGGCTTCAATTTTAAAACATCATGAGAAACCTGAAACAAGGTTCCTATTAGGATTGAGAATTACCGGGTTTAGATCCGAAACCCGAATTTCGTACCCTATTTGGATCGGGGTATGGATCTAAGATTTGGATTCAATGGATCGGATTTGGATAGGATTTGGATACAAGTGGATCCGATCTTGATCCGGCCTAGGTATTAAAATATTATTTATTAGTTTACATATATGTTATATAATATTTTTTTGTTGTATATCATTTTACAGATATAAAATAATATATAAAGTATATTTTTGATCTGATTGGGTTTGGTTTTTGATCCAGATCCCATATATATATTTCGAAACGGGATATTCTAGATCCAATCGGATATAGATTCGATTCCAATGTATACTTTTCAGACCTAAATCCTGATCTCAGTGAATCCGGAACCGATCCAACCCATTCACAAGCCTAGTTCCCGTTTGAACTCGGAGGAATCTAAATCGTCCAATCAAATTTCGTGAACGGTATGCTTGGTCCATATCCCAGTGGTAAGTTCCGGAAATTGAACAATTGAGGGCATGCTGAAATTTCGGAAAGCGTACTGGGCAATCACGTAATTTGCTTTCTTAGTACAAAAGCTCACTCGTTTTCCTTAAGTTCCGTAACTCTCATTTGCGGGGACATGGGAGAGACATGGCTAACCTCCAATTCATGGATTTTCCTCTTATTTTCCTCTGTGGTATAATCCCTAACCCAAATTCAACTTTTAATCTTCATCTTCTCTAACTTTCTTTACTCTTTCCTCAAACAATGAACCTAGTTTCTGGTATTTCTTTCTTCATTTTTACTTGGCTTTGTTTCTGACACTATGAACTCTATGAATTTCTTATCCATTTTCTCTTGTGACTCGTTTTGGTTTCTGATTTTACATTTTACAGGTTTTAATGGTTGTATTTTTCTTGGTGTACTTCTTTGAAGTTGTTCGAAGGATGGGATCTGATCACTGGTAAGTTAAACACTAACTTCATAGTAAACCCTATTTTTAATTGGAACCTTATTATGTTGTTTAGTAGGCTTTGTTTATTTGTAAAATCAAAATTCAGTTTGTCTTTTCCTGTGACTCTAATTTTTTTTTTTTTTAAGTAGAAGCTTAGTTATGAATGGTGGAGAAAAGGAAAAATTACATTACCGTCCTGTTTCTCTATATATACAGAACCCTGATTTCGAGTAGTATATTGTATGAACTATAATTATATGCTGAATAATCATTAGTTGAAGCATTTTAGCAATGGTTTTTTTCCAGCTTCGATGTATCTGCTGCATATTTTGAGGATCCCAACTCTTTGAGAAAGGTATGGTTTTTATGAGTTTTATTTAGCATATAATGTAACATGGTGTGACAGGATGATCTTACTCAAGAATCAAATATTGTCTGCACAAAGAATTGATTATGCAATAAAAATTTTAACTGGTCTAATAATTCAATCTGAGGGGCAAGGTCTTTATTTTCTTGTTTTCTTTTTCATGCTATGATTGCTATCTATGCATTGAACGCCATTTATCACCTGGACGAGTTACTATATATTCTAGGCCATTCTGATCAAGTGCAATTACTGTCCACTACAGCTCATTTCAAGCATGAAACTATAATTGTGTACCAAATTGTGTTTCTGCAGTAGTGATGGTTAGTAGTGCTTATTAGTATTGACCATGTTGACTTGCTTTGCTCCCAGGTTGCTTTTCCTTCAGTATTTGATCCTGCCGAGAAGTATATATCATTAATCATCCCTGCATTCAATGAAGAACATAGACTTCCTTTAGCTCTTGATGAGACCATGAGGTTGGTTGTTCTGGTATTCACATATTTTAGTTAAAATGTTCACATATTTTAGTCAAAATGCTCCATGACTGTCTATGCTTACCTGCATCTGGATGCAATGACACAGTTCGTGGAGACCAACATACATTGATGCATACATTCTCCTTCTATGCGGCGGCTGGAGTGCAGAAAGAAACATATCATTCCCTTTTTATGTGTCTCAGATGTACTGATTCCTTCCCTGGAGTCCATTTAGAGTTCCCCTTCTTTTAGGATAGTTGGCTGTATTTTTTAGTGACAACTGTCAACTACTATATGATTTCTCCTCACCTTTTATCAGTCACAATGAACCATTTCCAAAATTGGATTGCTTTAACTTGAATTTCTTCATCTAATTATTATTCTATAGTATATGTTAAGCCAAATAAATTCTTTATGCATTTCAATTTAAGATGCCTGGGTAATGGCAACTACTGTGGATACTGACTACGAGCATCTTATATACAAATGTTTTATTCATAGTGGAGAAACTGATTAATATAATGCGTGACACATGATGCTCCAGTTGAGTAATTAGATGGATTTTTTAATATTCAACTTAAATGAATAGTAATTCATAAATTTAAAATTTTTTATTTAATTTCTGAGGATTACTTTTATAACCATTTGTTAGCTATTTATTTTGTATTTAATTCAATCATACTTAATTTTTTTTAATTCGAATAAATTTTTAAACTTGTTCATTCTCCTAGAGAGGAGGAGGAGGAGGAGGAGAAGGAGGAGGAGGAGGAGGGGGAAGGGGGTGTGTTTAGGAAAGACTTAGATAGAAGACTTACTATTACTATACTTTTGATGGAGAATATGGTAAATCATTGGCGTTAAGATCGATTTATTGAATGAGTTAGAGATAGAGATTGAAAGGGATTGTGAGGAGAGAGTGACCTGCAATATCTGAACTTACTCGTTCTTTTACTGTAAGATATTTGGGGGAAATTAGAGGAGATGGGCTAATACAGATAAAGAGACAGGTGGATGGATAGATAGGTAACTAGATGATAAGTAGATAGAACATAGTTGCTGGGGCCTCCCAACCTAGTTGGCATTCTCGTTTTTAGGCATTCGCGTTTCGAAAACTCACTCTGGTGCTCCGTGAAAGGGATTTTGATTTTTAAATTTTAGGATCTTGATCTCTCTGTGAGAGATCTTAATCACCACCTTAAGATCAAGACAACGACCAAACTGTATAGCCAGCTAGCAATGCAACTGTACTTTTAATATCATTGTAATGCTTGTTGGCTATAAATAAAGAGATCCCTACTGTAAATGAGTATATATGGCCCTGGATTATATATACTCTTTAAGGTTGGGTGAAAGACCCCAAAAGGTTGAGATCAAGATCCGAAAAGGTCAGGATCGAGGTTTTCAAAAGGTTGAGATCTCCATCCCTAACATATGCATTGTACAAACAATGCTCCCAACGAAAGGGATCATTTAGCTTTTCATGATCCCCGCTGCTCCCGATCATGATCTCACCCCCTGTCTACGTTTTATGTAAATCATGGTGTATCTTTCTGTGTGTGTGCTTCCAAGTGGATTGATAGATAAATAGATGGCATTCATTATGTTTTTCATAGGTTAAATAGATTATCTCCTTATTATATTAAGAGTAGATTAGTATTATGTTTAACAAATGTCATTTGATATGTTTAAAATATATAATTTAAAATGTGCTATATTTCCGCTGTAGTCTAATATGCATATAGGACGCCCTATTCTTGAATATTTTGGATACTTTGAGGATTTGCTGTCACCATTTCCTTTCACATTGTCGTTGGAGGTCTTTAATAGTCTGATTACTCATGAGTCTCGGAGTTGATTGTTGTCCGCTTGGAAGGGAGGTTCAAGATTTCTAAGTTTTTGATTGCTGATGATACCCTCGTATTCTTTATTTCCAACAAAGAAAAAAATGGATCGTTTCTGGTTCGTTTTTAAGTTTCTATTTGCTACGAACTGGTGCTTAAAACTGGTCTCTATAATAGAACCTTGGTTGGTTTCTTGGGCCGAAGAAAAGCCTTTGGGATCTAGTTATAAAGAGGATGGAAAGTACATTTGTCCTATGCCATCATATATCTCTTGTTCAGATGCCAACGTGTGTAGCTAGGATGTTGGAATGTCTAATTGGAATTTCTTCGGAGGGAGGAAATGGTGTAGGGCACAAATTCCATCTTTTCAATGGGAGGAGGTTTAGTTGGTTAAGAGAGAGAGTGTATAGGAATAAGCAGCCTTAGTAAATAAAGCATTATTTAATGAAGTGATAATGGAGATTGTAGTGGGCTGTTGAAGGATGTGAAAAGAGGTAATTGTGGAGCATTTGACATTTGGGTGGGGTGCCAAATATTTAATGACATCAACCAGGGTGTCCTTGACATGGGAGGTTGCTTATGTGGTGGAATGGAAGTTTAATTCTCTTATGAAGTTTTCAATAGGTGATGGATCACGTTTTTATTTTCTACACTTTGTTTGGTGTGGTGATAGACCTTTGGGGCTTAGATTCCTAGGCTTTCTGAGGATTGTAGCAGCTATAGAAACTTGGCTGGAAGAGTTTCTGGGTTTGTTGGTTGTATTAAAGGACAATTATGTTTCATTGACTCCAGAGAGTTGCAAATTATTCTCCACAAGGTTTCCTTATGGGGCACTTGTGCTCAATGTAGGTAGTCATCCCCCTTATTGGATGGTTTGGGATGTGTTAGCGCACTCAGGGTAATTGAACATACTTTGTTCTGGATCACCTCCAGGGGAGAGTTATATAGATGACTAATCCTTGGGTTTGTTGTTTATAAGCAAGCAACTGCGTTGTGTGCATCATGTGCCATTAGGAAGCCAAATCAGTGGGACCTTTTGTCTCTCATGTTGGACGTCTTTGTAATGTCATGGGTGACACCAGTTTCAGCATCTGGAAAGAAGAAATTAAGGCATCTTTAGGGTGAGAGAGAGGGGAGGAGAGAAAGAGAAAAGGGTTTTTTTTTTTGGGCAGGGGGTTTGGGGAAGTGTCTCCACAAGATGATTTGTGAACCATTTGTAGTATTGAGACTGAAAAACTTGATTTTGGAGTTTCTTTAGGCTTCTAAGTAACTTGAAGCTGTTGGCATTTTTTCTATTGCCAGTTCTGGATGAGCCAGGGTTGGTCTAGGCCCCCGATAGGTTCTTTAAAGCTTAATATTGACAGATGCTGACATGATATTTTGGGACCTAAGGCTTTCATCATCTCTTTAGGGATGCAGAGAGGAAGACACTGCTTCCATTCAATTGCCCTTATATATTTGTAATTTGTCATTTTGGAAGTATGGGGTTTATTTAGGGTTCTTGAACTTTTCTTTGAATTAGGGGACGGACCTATTATTCTTGGAGGTGATTGTCTCAATGTCATTAGGTGGGCACGAAGAAATAACTTGGGCTGCCCATGGTAATTAAATATGATCTTTGAGGAGATTTTTGACATTGGTGTGTTGAGTTCTGTCTGTTCCATTTTCTGACGGGTGCAAATGTAGTTCCAGATACCCTTGCTCTTAGGTGGGTGAAAGGTGTTAGCCTGTTGGTAACCGCCAGAACAATTATGTTGCTTCATTGTCTCCTTGACTTTTCTTGCTTGTTTTCTTTTGTGATATATTTTTTTTGATAAAATCATGGTTACTGACAACCAAATATTTTAGATATAACATGCTAAATTCGTAAATGTCCTAAGAGTATCTGCTAGCAGTATTTGTCTTGTATCTTATGATACAGGTTTACTAAGCATGTCACGTATCGTGGTGTCTTAGAGTATTGTTTACTTTTGTTTGTTGTGTGGTCTCTAATCATATATATTATCTGTTTAGTTTTTCACTTGGATCTTTCTACTTTGTCTCATTTGATTTTATTGTCTTTCGAAGTTGAATCTTTCTTCTTTCCTTTTCTTGGCCATGCTTTTGACTTTTGATGACTTTCATTCATCAACAAGTCATTTTCATAGAAAAACTGTTGTTTAGATAAAGACATTATGATGCAATTTCATTTACCTTTGAGTTTGTTGTCCATCTTTGTAGTTATCTTCAACAACGTGCAGCAGCAGACAAGTCTTTTACTTATGAGGTGTGCTTTGTCATTTTGCATTTGGATTTTCGTGGAATTTTGATCATATGGTTATGCTGTGCATACAAATTTTCCTATGGTTGAGTTTCTATGAATACCTGCATTTGTTAAAAATGTGAGAATGCAAATAAAGGCTTCAAAATCCAACAATCCCCCACCCAATTATGATTGCGATCTTTCCAATCAGGAGTACTGCTCATCGCCACCTCCTTTGGACTTGCTGTTGTGACATACTTTGTCCAATTCAATAGTCATCATGAGCCTTTGTAAGTGACTTGCTCACAACCATAGTAGATACCCTTGAACTTGCCTATAAGCACACATTTACTGACTTATTGCTTTGTTCAAATTAACTTCAATAACAATATTTTACTGCCTCAAGGGCCCAAAACATTGCACAAAGCACCTTTAGATGCTAAACATTGTAGTCTTTTGAAGATAGCTCATCAATACCTAATTAGGGATGGCATACTATGCTCCCAAGGGTCGGATATTGTAGCTATCCTCCTAAGGCAATCCGACAGTATGAATAGGACAAAGTCCACTACATCCCATTGGGAGTGGCTTGTTTTTGCTATCTAAAAGTTGGTCTTCATTTCATTTTCCTGTGACATGAGCAAAAATGAAACCTAAACTGTGTAGATCTGGTTGTTTGTTTGGCTGCAAGAAGATTATGATAAACATACATACTTTTTATAGGCAGTTTAGAAGAAACATTGGAAATGAATTGAAAAAGTTTGATATGTTTTTCCATTACCTTGGACATTGTTTCAAAAAAGGTCCGCGTGACACAATGGCACATGCCCAGGCCTTGGCAGCCCTCCCTAGGTGCCCAATGCCCAGGGCCTGCACCTTTGTTTTGAAGAAACTGTCATTCTTCAGTGATTGTTATTGTGAAAAAACTGTCATTTTTCAATAAAGCAAAAAAACTTCCTTTAAGAATATTTTTATTGTTGCATATTTTTGTGTTTTTTCAGATATTTTCTCAAGCTTCTCCTTTTTCTTTTATTTTTTTATTTTTATTTTTGCTAATGTCAATTCACACCAGTGAAATAGAAATAACCACTTCCAGTTGTTCCCCTATTTCCAATTTTTAAACCTGGCTTAAGTGATGCAATCTAATGTTAGATTGATCCCGATAACTCAGAAAATAAGCCGATGTTTTCATATCATAGGAATCCCAATTTATTTTGATGGAACATCTCCATAGTACAATGAGAACAGAGAATACATGTCAACAAGAGAGGGCGTACGTGCCCAAGGCGCATTTCTCACTCTAAAGTAAAACAGAGCGCCTGCCTAGGCGCTGTCTGCTTGGCACCTAGGCCAGCTGCCTACGGGTTGCCTAGTGTTTTTTTTGAAACCTCGACTTTGGACAAGATTCTTTGAAAAAGAAATCCCTTCAAATTTTCATCATTTGGGGTTTTAGGAGGGATAGAGGGGTCAAAATTTGAAAAATTATACCAAAGGGTGCCTCACCAAAGCGCAATAATCATTCAAAGGGTGACATCCACACCGGATACTTTATATTTTGCTGTCCATTTCATTTAAATTTGTGGAAGTCAAACTGTGTGAGTTCAACTATACTAATATGAGAATACAAAACACAGCCCCATTGTAAAATGAGAACAGAGAATGCATGTCAGTAAGAGAGGGCATGCTGCGCCCAGGGTGCACATTTCCCACTCTAAAGTAAAACAGGGCCCAAGGTTCCAGGCACCCGCTTAGCCGCTGGGCACCAGGCCAACCGCCTACGGGTCGTCTAGCATTTTTTGAAACCCTGACCTTGGATAAGATTATTTAAAAAAGAAATCCCTTCAAATCTGCTTTATTTTGGGGTTTTAGGAGGGATAAAAGGGTGATGAAAGATTATGCTAAAGGGTGCTTCACCAAAGTGCGATAATCATTCAAAGGGTAACATCCACACCGGATACTTTATATTTTGCTGTCCATCTCATTTAGACGTGTGGAAGTCAAACTGTGTGAGTTCAACTGAGTGTTTTTTTATCCCAAATTGACCTCAATTTTTACCAAGTCTTTTGGTAAGTACAGTTAAGCTTATTTAAAGCAATCTGGCAAAGTTAAAGGGAGGTTAGCATATAAGGCATGTTTACTCTGTTACAAATCACAAAAAAAGAAAGATGTGTTGACTCTCTATCTTTTTGATAAGCATTTGTTTCGTAAACCTATAAATCTAGTGAAACCATGTTGTTATTATTACTTGCTTTATTTCTTTTATTTGTCTTAATTGTTATCAGTTTGTCAGAAAGGAGGTTGTCATGAATTGGCTATATGATTGTCAGTTACTAATTCATCTTAATGATCTAATTTTTATACTCGTCCTATTTATAATCATCGAATAAAATATTCTTGTAAAAATTATGAAAATCAGTTGTTTGATGCATTGGGTGACATACTAGGTCTATGGTCAAACCGACTCATTGACTAATAATCCGAGTTTTAAGTCCAAGTCGAGGATTTTCAACTATGTTTTCTGAGGGTTTCTGCAGATGTGCTTGACATCTTCCTGCCACTGGCTGTCTCCCTACATGTTCTACAAACGGACTCAGTGACTAACAATCCGAATTTTAAGTCCAAGTTCAGGATTTTAAACTATGGTTTCTGAGGGTCTTCCTGCATGTTCTTATCTAATGTGCTACAACTCTATTACTCATGCATTTGGTGATTCCATTTGTCTCAACTCTCTAGTAAGATCCTCCCTCACATCAACTCATTGTTCTTTATGGTTTTTGTTTCTTAGTTTTTTATTCACTTTTACTTAATGAAAGAAGCACACTTGTCTCTAAAGCAAAGGTTCTCCTGATGTCAAGCTGGATTGAGATTTCAAAGAAAATGTGCCATTTAATGTCGGAGAGTTCAGATCAGCAAATAGGACTTTTGCAGGGCTGTATGAAGTGTTGTACCACGAAAACAACAATGTAAGGCACATGAAAAGCACGATGTTTGGGCGAGAAACAAAGAATCTTGGGAAAGCGAGAGTGGGATATATTTCATGACCAGCAAATTCCAGAGATGAACTAATACATACTTGGATGACTTGCACAAGTAATGTGCTCCACTCTTAGCAGGGGTGAAGCATGATTTTTATGGAACAAGATGGCAGTTTGGAGATTGATTCACAGCTATCCAAATGGGTGTTGTCATCTGAGCCTTTGAATTACTTCAATTACTTTCTGCCTTTTTCGTGAATATTAATGGGGGTGGATGAAGCCTTTGATAGTTGGGATGGGTGATCTTTAATTCTTTATATTTCTTTTGTGTGCAGCCATGTACAATTTTTAAAAGAAGGAAAAAGCTATTCTAGGATTTATGAAAGCCAGTTGCATTTTTAGAGTGGTAATGCTGTTGTTTGCATAATGCAGTTGAGATTCAGTAAAAGGCACCTTCACGGATTAATTTGTAGCCATTCTAGGATTTATTAAGCAGTTTTGGTTTTTAATTCAGAAACCAATGTTCTCAGCCCTAGTTTATAGAAAACCCTGGATGGGCACTGAAGAAAGCATGACCCATTTTCCCAGTGTGGTTCAGATGCTAATCTAGCATAATTCAAATTTGTAACAGAAAAGTTCTAGAGAATCATGCTATGGACCTCTCTCTCTCTCGGTAATCAACAACTCCTCAAGAAGGGAGTTGTACATCTATTCGCATCGAACAAAGAGATATACAACACAGAGGCAAGGGAACAAGACGATATGATGACTGAACAGAAAGGAAAGCAAAAGAAGAGGTGGTTAGGAAGAGAAAAGATAAGTTGTATCTTTTATTCTGTGAATGTTGGGAAGAGATGAGCTATATCTTGCATAAAAATATTTTATCCTTTGAGAAGTAAATCACATCCTGAGAAATTAATGGTTTTCTGATGTAAGTATGTCTCTTCTTTCTAGCTATGCCCAATGTTTAAACTTAGGTAGAAGCGCTTCTTATGGTTTTGAATTGTGCAACTTTTACTCAAAGCACGTGAATGTTAACAGGATAACCACTTGATTTTTCTTCTATGATGCATGGATATGGCATGGGATACATGTACCATAGCTTTTACATAATGTCGAAATGGGTGATCTCAAGGTCCACTTGTTGATTCATATACTATTTTTTGGGCAGTTGAGTGATTAGGTTCGGCATCTGGTATTTATTGATTGTGATGAATATGTAATGGCTCTTCGATGTTTGAACTTTGTCCCATGGTTAAGGGGATCCCCAAAGAAGTGGTCGCTCCAGCTCCAGACCCTCGATCCTGCACTCTTGGATAAGGGATTTTAATTTCAGATGTTTTTTTGATTCAGCTCTGAAAGCTCGATCCTGCATTCCAGGATAAGGGATTTTGAATTTCACACCAGGTTTCACACAGGCGTGCGCACACACACTCAAAACAAATGGCCCAACCTCAACCCGAACCACTCCCATTAGGCTGCCTAGGTATCTAACCGCCCGCCTAGGTGGTCAAGTCCCTTGACCGCCCAGGCGGCCGCCTCTGCCTTTTGAACATTGCTTTTAGTATATAGATCATCCTGTGGAGAAACAGTGACAATGCCTAGAACAGAAACTAGGGTTTGAAGCTTATGTTTGAATTTTTAACATGTAAGTCACAAGAAAATAGACCATAACATACAAGTTATTGCCATATTACGTTAGATGACCATAGATGAAGGATCGCAGCTGCAGAGCTAAAGCTTCGCCATGTCCTACCCTAAATCCTTCTCATTTCCCTTACTAGAATTTCTATAAAGTCGATAGAATTTACCTTTGTCTCTAATGCCCTGTTGTTGTCCATATCCACCATTACAACGGCCTTTCCATGTTGATCCTTTCTTTGCCTCTGGACCTTTTTTGCCTCTTAATCTAGAGAGCATTTGACCAGTTGCATGTCAAATCGTATATAAGTAAAGGGATGCAAATGAGGGAAAACAAGGACACCACATTTTCATCAAACACTAGAGAATCTTTCATGCCTGAGGACTGGAATTGAATGCTCATTTTGGGATTTCAGTTTCATTACTCACTTATGAAATGCGCTCCAATGATAACAAATTTTGTTAGCATCTTTTACAAATGCGATTCTTTATATTTAATCATACTTCGGTTTTTTAATTTAGAAAAAATATTAATCATATCGTTGAATGGATTTCTTTTCCAAGCCAGAGTACCCTAGTCCAGTGCTCTTGGGGAACCTCGTTTTAAGCTGGACGGACCTTGATCCCACATACTTTATCATTTGATCCTCAACAAATTTGGATTGCGCTTCCTTCATATAGGGACCACGCTCCCTTGAACTCATGGTGTTCGGATCTCGATCCTATCCCACAGATTCTCGTGCATCACTTGATCCCTTGTCCTGATCCCAATCTAGGATTTGACCTCGCTCCAGATCCGGTGACTACTCTTTGTTTCATACAGAGCCATTTAGCACTATTTCTTTTGGAATTTAATTTGCTACATTTCGTTGAGCTTCATTTGCCAACAGTTCGGTCCTTTAACTCTATTGGTGGAGGATGTCATTGCAAATTGTAAAATAGAAAGAAAAGATCTCAAGGGGTCTTTTCTTTTCTTTTGTAAATTGTGGGCTTGGAGGGCATTTTCAATACCATCTTACTTGTGAAAATCCTTGGCAAATAGTGTTCCACTGACCACCATGACATTCTCAATTATATCAGTTTTTTTTTTTTGTATACATGCATTCTTAAATGCTGTATTAATTATAACAGCAACTGGGATTCCCTGTAAAAACATCTATGCCTATCCATATCTTCTCATGAAATGTTTTCTTGTGGTTTAGTGTCGGAGTTTTTTTATTTGTTTGGCTTACAACTGAAAGAAACTAGTGATTTGGATTTTTCCATTGTGTGTTGGTTTTGCTGTTGCCCTCTCATTTAATGCCATTAAAGGTAGGGAATTATTCAGAATCAGATTTTGGGGTTCAAGGGCCAGCTCTCTATTGTTGTTTCTAATACTTCTCTATTCGTATAGTTGACCCCAAATTATTGGGATAAGGATTGAAATTAGATGATGATGATGATGATTACAGTTTTGTTCATGTTAGTGTGATGTTGGTATGTTTTTTTTTGTAAAGGTGGTGATAGTTGATGATGGGAGTACTGATAAAACATCCAAAGTTGCATTTGATTGGGCGAGGAAATACACAATTGACAATGTAAGGGTTATCCTTCTTGGGAAAAATCATGGAAAGGGAGCAGCTATATCACAAGTGAGTGTTTCTGACTTCGTTCTTCATTTTACATCACTTTAAGTAATGGACTAGCTCAAACCATCTTGTCACAAAACATAATCATCACCATTATTTTGAAATGCATGTTTTGATCTACATATATTTCAACTTGATCATCTCCCAGTGCTCATATGGCACATGTACATGTGTATGCTATAGATCTATATACATTGCTAGATACTTCACCCTCTGCTTTGATCTTAGCAAACCCTTTCAAAAGCTAAACGTCTTTGCATGTCTTCTATTGACCTTGATGAATTTTCCTTTTCACTGGTTGTATATGACAACTATTCATTTGGGCTCTCCTGTTTTGTGAAAGCATTGTAAAACAGGGAATGCTTCACTCACGTGGTGAGCTGCTTTTGATGCTTGATGCTGATGGAGCCACCAAAGTTACTGACCTTGAAAAGCTAGAACTTGAGGTTTGTTATTAACTGGTTATTTGCATGTTACTTGCCTTGAATGCTTCCCTTTTCAGATAATTACTAAATTTGATTATTGTAGTTGCATTTTATTCTATTGCAGTCCAATTACAATATTGAGTCACTTTTACTGTATTTGCTCTTTCCGTTATTAGATACGTTCATCATATGAAAAGGAACTTCACTCTAGAGCTGCAAGGCCAAGTGATTCGAACCCAAAATTTTCTGATGTTGCAATCGCTACATTTGGATCTCGTGCTCATCTTGAGCAGCAGGCTCTAGCTACCGTATGGAATTACTATTCTCAATCTGTCCTTCATATACCTAAGAATTTAAAGTTTTATGGATTTATTTCTAAGGCATTTACTTTTATGTGATATCGTCAGCGGAAATGGTACCGAAATATTCTAATGAAGGGTTTTCACATAGTAGTTTTGCTGACAGCGGGTCCTGGAATTCGAGATACCCAGGTTTCATCTTACCTCATTAGTCTTAACACTTCCTTGGTTACTTGCCATAATGCTCTAATTCATCTTCAGGGAACATTCTCTGACAATCAGTTTATTTGAAGTGTCTCTCAATTCTTACAAGTACTCTTATGGCCCTTTCAGTGTGGCTTTAAGATGTTCACGCGTGCCGCTGCTCAGAAACTTTTCACAAATATTCGTTTGAGAAGGTATTATTTTTATGAGGCTTTTGTATGCGAACCAAATTGAGTAATATTGATTCCTCCAATTTCCAAATAAGAAACATATATTTCTCCATTTTGAACATCTTCTAAATAAATATCAAAATGAGGGACCATCCCTGTCATGAAAAATTTCCAAAACTGTGCCGAACCATTTAACGACCATGAGGCTTTTTTGACAGTATTTTATTGGCCAAGCTTTCATTTCGATATTTAGGATTTTTGTTCGTGATTTGGACCCAGTACTTCATTCTTTGATAAGGTATAAATGATATAATCTGTAAAGACTAATCTAACAATAGAGATGGAAGCCAAGCTGAGCAGTGTTACAGAGTTAAGGAATGCAGTATTTTGTCTCCATAGCATAGTCCAGCTGTAGTATTACTTTTTCACTTAATGGATTTGATTCGTAGTAATTTTACTTTGTTGCTTCTGGATAGTACATATACTAGCTAAAACCCTAGAGGTCAGTGTAAAACATGTTTGTTTTCAGAGTATTAGAAGGAAGGTGCCTAGACCACCTACGTGGCATCTTGGGTGCTAAAGTGCAGAACCGATTTGCTTGGGACTAGACGGTGCAACCGTAGGTGGGGACTACCTAGTAGGGCTCCTAGCATGATATTTGTCTGAGATGATTTAAATAAAATCAGAGGTCTCTTATGTATCTATTACCAATAATGATTCGGATGTTTCAAGCCTCAAATCTTGGTGGGAAGGCAATTGAAATTTTGATTAAATTTTAGAACTAATTGAGAAAGTTTAAAACTTTGCTTTTATGTAAATTGAAGTTAGATTTCTCTTTTTTAGAAGTAAGTTGAAGTTAGATTTCTCTTTTTTAAGAAGTAAGTTGAAGTTAGATTTCTCTTTTTTTAGAAATATCCCAAAAGGTGCTATCTTCCAAATTTTGTAATATGGCTAGTTTCCTAAAGTTATGAAGGATGGATCGGTGAGCTTGAGAGTTGATAAAAGGTTCCCACCTCTATAATAATAATGTAAGCTCAAGCCATTCATAGAAGAAATTGAGAATAAGTTTACTTATTTTTCCATGATGTTGACTCCATGAACCCTTAGTTTTGGGTTGGTAAGTCTTAATGCTAACTTGATTTTAGGTCTCATAATTTGGATAAGGTATGACTCCTTATACAAGTTTAGGTTTTATTTCGTCCTCTTTTTTTCCACCAATCTGCCAAAACTTTAAGGAAAAGCTACCTCCATCATTCCAAAAGCTCTTTTAAACTTTAAATACAAATTTTATATCTGTTTTAGCAAGTTGAAATCAATTTCCTTTTTTGTTAGAAGTGTTCTCGAAAATGTTATCTTCCTAATTTTGCAACAGGTGCTTGTTTCTAAAATTATAAGTGACCTAGTTCCATAATATTGGAAGACATAGAATTTACAAAGAAATGTTTTAGAAGATGGAAATGGCTGCCAAGACGTGGGCGGGTCCTGTGTGGGCAGAATTTGGCCAAAATTTTACGACCATTAGCTGTATATGCCAAAATAAAGTCACATAAACATAAAATTTACTTCCTTGTGCATTTCAAGCTTTTTTTCAAAGGTCAAAGTGTTACATTCCAAAGTTACAAACATTCAAAATTTAATGATCATGAACTCAAAAAGGGCCCAATTGGGTTTCATCATGATTTCCAACATTGTTGTCTCTTTGTCATTTCTGCCAACACTCTATCAAATGATGACGATGATGCCTTTCTGAAACATATCGTTCTTCATTATCGGTCTCTTCTGAGTTTTCTAGCTTTGGCTCCTCGTCCTCCTCCTTCACGCTTTTTAATCTTTTGTCCTTGGAATTGGACCCTTTCTTTTGAGACTGAGACCCCTTTCTTTGAGATTGAGACCTCTTCCTTTGAGATTGAGAACGTTTAGTCCTCTTGGGTCTGACAGGGTTCCATAGCTTGCCTCACTTGACTCCATGTCAAGTCCTGTCCAGCTTGTAGCAAATCACCATCATTAGACATCGATCAGCCACTCGTATGTATCATCCAACTCTTGAACAACAATAGGATCAATGGAATCTTGATCCATGTAGCAGTCTTCAATTTTTTATTGTACTGAACGTATGCATGATCATTCAGTCTCTTTTGTTCAAGTCTATTTTTCTTTTTGGTGTGTATTTGTTTCGTAAATCATAATGCATTAATAAATTAGAATTTAAATAGAATTACCTTCTCAAAAAGTTATAAAATAGGTAAGCACAAGAAATTACCATCTCAAAAGTACTAAAATTATACTTGCATCCAGATGAGCTACATTTCAGATTCAGTATGTGTATAGCCATCTTTGTAAGTGCTTAGCACTTCCTCATAATTGCTCCACCATGTACCTACATCACAATATTATATTTTACAAAACAAATAAGTAATAAAGTGTAGAATGAATTTGTCTTAATAAAGAAGCTAAATTTAAATTACCAGCCTTGAGAGATTTCCTTTGTCTTATGTCAATATTAGTGCCAAGTGATGCCATTGCCATTTTATACTTTTCCAGATCTATTGACACTGGGTCTTGCTCTACTACACTGGGAACGTGTCTTACTAAGCATGTATTGATTGCATCCATAAAAGAAACTTGAGTGTCAATCTGTGGATTATCATAAAAATAAGTAGGGTTCAGATAGTAGCCTGCCTAGAGGAGGGGCCTCTCAAGCTTTGATTCCTACATCTTTTCTACAATATCCAAAATGGGCTTATAAAACTTTTCATTGTGATAAAAAAATCTCCTTGGCTGCATCCATAGCCTTATAAATATGGCCCATAGGTGGCTGGCTCCCCCCTATCCACTTGGCTCAAAACCTTAACTAGTGGCTTAAAGGCTTTAATGGACCAATCATCTTTCTTCCAAAAGGTCCTTGATACGACAATATGAACAACTTTCCTTCCCATTTGATGAGTAAACCACTTCATTTCATTCCACTCATCAGAAACAAACATTTTTCTTAAGTTCTCTTTTTCACCTTGAAGAGACTTCAAACATAATTAAGTGGCAAATCTAGTTACCCTAGGTCTCACTAACTCATTCTTTAAAAATTGCCTCATCAAAGCCAAGACATGTGTGTGGTTGTTGATGAAACCTGTGATCATCCTACACTTGGTCATAGTTAATTCCGCCAACGCGTTCTTGTCAATGATCTCAAGCATGTGGTTGATGCAATGTGCCGTGCATGGGGTCCAAAATATGTGAGGCTTCTTTTTCTCAAGCTACCTACTAGTTGCCACAGTATAGGCAGCCATGTCAATAAACCACCTGAATAACATGATGCTCCCTGCCTCTATGCATTTTTTAGCCAATTGCAAAATGGATTTAGAATCATGTGCTTTATCAGATGCACGAATTGACCTAAAAAACATTGGCTCCAAATCCAATGGATAGTTTACCATCAAATTCATGTCTTCATGATGCTCCTATCCCTCTGGACAGACCATCTGTCAGTCATTATGTTAACCCAAACTGACCCCTTGCATCCCTGTGAGTCTTGAAATGCTCATTGGTCAGTTTCACCTTTTTTCAAAGTAGATGCTCATTGAGCTCATATGGGTTAGGACCGTATATCCAGGCCCAAAATGCCCCATTGCTTCCATCATGGCCTGGAAGCTCTTTAAGGTAGTGGCATTGATAAGAAATGCATGCTTGAAAAATCCACCCAGCTGCATATTGATCTACTCTTTTGTTTCTATCATTTTTTAGTTAGCTATCTTGGCCCTTTCCTCGAGACCTGACCTCAACTGTAGGATCCCCCTTGGTTGTGTTGTGGTTTTTCTTTTTTTATTTTGCCGGGGGGGGGGGGGGGAGGTGCAAAGAAAGAATCTATAGGGGCTACTGTCAGGGCCTACTATCCCCAATCTCCACTTCCATCATTGGCCTAGCTCTGCTTTCATATTACTCTTCCTCTTCTCTTTGAGCCCAAAGATCTATGATTCTCCTGACCTCATCCATTTTTCTTTTACCCTCTTCTTTTTGAGCCCTTCAAAAAGCCCCAACATCTCATTCCTAACCTCTACTGAGACTTGAGTGTAAGATGCAACATCCCCTTTGTCCTAGCCAAGTGCTTTTTAAATCTATTAATTCCGCATGAATAGGATCTTTTACAATAATTGCATTGGATCTTTTGTTTGTCCAATAGATTTGGGCATGTCCAATGCTTCCATCCTGGATCAACTTTTTTCCCAGTAGAACCAGAAGAAGACATTGTGAATTTTTGACCTACTTGATAGTCAAGACTCAAGTTAATTATGGTCATAAAATAAGATCATAAATATTTTCAATTTTGCATTATAAATTAGAAACAAATTCGGACATAGCAAAAAATATATTATGAACTTTTGATTTTGCATTATAAATTATAGACAGCCATACATAAAGTGGCCAGAAATATATTATAAATTTTCAATTTGCATTATCAAGTAGAAACATAGCCAAATGTAGCAAACAATATATTAACATTTTCAAATTTGTATTATCAAGTAGAAACATAGCCAAACATAGTAAAAAACATGTGTTTTAATGACAAAAATAGCAAACCCTTAAAAAAACCACTTGCGAAGTTTCGTCATAAATATAATGTTAAACTTCAAAAATAAACACATGAAAATGACTAAAAAACATAACATAACACAATACTCACAATAAATACAAAACCCTAAACATAAACAATTGAATTTATTTACCTTTCAGACAACCAATTGAAGTGGGCTTGAATCAGTCACTTCCGGTGGCCAAAAACTCTATTTTGCAACATCTTTAATCCCCAAAAAGTTTTAGGTTGAATGCCTTCACAAGAAATTGAAAACTTCAAATTTGGTTTTAATCATTAAAAAAAATTGTTTTTTGAACTAAAAGATTGTTGTTTTGGGGCACAAGAGGGTTTGTTTAGGGTTTTTTTCGGGGGGGGGAGGGGGGGTGGGGGCGAAAGCCCCTCAAATACTGTTGCCCCCTGCCCCCTTTTCAGGGGGGGGTGGGGGCGAAAGCCCCTCAAATACTGTTGCCCCCTGCCCCCTTTTCAGGGGGGGGTGGGGGCGAAAGCCCCTCGAATACTGTTGCCCCCTGCCCCCTTTTCAGCGGGGGAAAAAACATTATTTGCTCTTTTGGTGAGGCCCATTTTCATCCTCACCAAAAGGGCCACGGGTGACTGGTCAGCCACCCACGGTCACCGTCCAGCACTGGGCCGCCCAATCCCGGTGCAGTGTGGTGAAACCTCCCAGCTGCCTGGGCGGCTGACTTTTTTAACATTGTTATAAAGATTTAGGAATTTGCTTAGCTTTCCAGTTAAGAGGAGAGGTTCCACATCTATAAAAGATGGAGGTCCAAGGCCAATCTTGGAAGACATTGAGTTGAAAAAGAAAGTTTGCTTTTCTTTGATGGTCTTTGATTTCATCCTGAGCTGTTGGTGCCTCTTTTCCATTGCATTGATCTACAAACCCTAGTTTCAGGTTGTGTTGGTGCTAATACAATTTTAGATCTCCTTAAGTGGCATGAGGTTTGACTCCAGGTTTTTTTCCTTCGTCCATCCTTTCTCACTTCTTTTCTCTCCTATTACCCTACCAAAGTCCAAAACCCCGAGGAAACCCACTTTCACCTTCCCAAAAGATTGTTTAAACCCTAGGAAATCTTGCCCCTAAAGTTCCCAGTCTTTTCTATCTTAAAACCACTCCAGATGTCCTCTTTTCATCCTTCTATGTTGCTGGACTGTTAAATTTTAGTACCTCTAAATTCCATGAAGCCCTTAAATTCAAACCTTAGTTATTGGGATCTCCTAACATGGGTGGTGATCCTGCTCCAGGAATGCGATCCTGTGCTTCATGTGGGGAATCACAGTCTGGTCGCTATCTCATGTTGGGGTTGTGCTGTCCCAAGCCATTTCTGTGTAATTTTAAAGATAAAGAAGCAACACAATGAAAAAAGAAAGCAATAACTATACACATCGATGTATCTGTAAAGCTTTAAAGGAAAAGCGATTCTTGAGTCTACATTTTTTTTTTTTGACTAAGTTACATAGGAATGGAACTTGAGACCTAGTGCTATGAAAACCAGCTACTATCGAATTGACCCAAGCCCGATTCCTTTTTTTTTTTTTTGAGAATGTTAACCTTAAATTATAGGAAATAAGTACAACGAGTTAGGCAGTCCACATACTGGACGCTCCAACACAGTAAAATAAAAGGAATAAATGGAAAGGAGGCAGAAATATTTCTTTGGGAAGGTTACAAAGGAAGCAACCCAAAAAGGAAAACATCCATCCCAAACTTCTGCTAAGGTCCCTCCATGGTAGCCCCTTCTTTAGCAATCGCATCTGCTGCCTGGTTTTCCTTCCCTCCTGATATGCCTCCAAAAGACGTGCATATCCCTGCAAAGGTAGTCGATATAGTCAAAATAGTGAGGAAGGAACCAAGGGGGGGAGAAGAGGGGTGCTCCAAAGCCCAAGAGACGATAATATTCTTAGAGTCTCCCTCTATGTGTAAGGTGTGCAGACTAAGAGGTTGTACAAGCTTCAGCCCTTCCAAAAGTGCTGCCGCCTCTGCATCCATGGAGTTGGCATATCCGATGGAGTTGGAGACGGATGCCACTGTAGCACCAAGGTAATATCTAAGGATTGCTAGTACTCCCAACGGCCCAGGGTTCCTGAGGGAGCGCCCATCGAAATTGAGCTTGAGGAAGCCCTGAGGGGGGAGGTCTCCCGATTCATTTTCTTAAATCTACCCTGAATCACAAAGAGCAAGTTTTGAATCCAATGCTTCCAAAATTGCATTTAATGTAGGAAATGGTGAGTCAAAAATTTGTCACAATGAATATGAGATTCTGACCTGTCATCTTTTTAAAATGCCTACAAGAGAGACTGTTCTCTCACCGTCTCTGTCTTTCTCTCTCTACATTTATATATTTAGTTGCTTAAACTACCTCATGCTTTAGTTTTGTTTCATTAATTTGAAATGAAGGGGAATATGTGAAGAAAAGGGCTCAACTTAACTGAAATAATATCCTTTATTATTATTTACAATGTAAACATCTTCAAAATAATATTGTGGATGACTCATGTATGAAAGGACTCAAGTAAATGAATATGAGTGATTAGTCTCAAATTTTTTTTGAGTAAATTTATTGTTAGTATTATTTAACTATTGTTTTTATAATTTAATATGTCTAATAAATTAATTTTGCATCTAAATATTTTCAAAAACTATTGCGATTGTATTTTTTAAAAATTCCCTAGTTTATAATTTCATTACTGTACATGTGCCTCATGGCATCCCAAATCAGGGTACTCTTAATAAGCAATGGTCTCCCTCCTACAGCTGCTTCTGCCTTGAACAACTCTGATTCAAACCCTATGCGATACATTAACTGTGCCAAACCCCTCCCATAGATCTGCCCTTAGTTCTACCCCCTTTAGGCCTCCTATCATCCATGCCTGCTGAATGTAGTCGAGCTCAATTTATGTAGGATCTTATTGTCCTAAACTTTGTAGGAAACAGAAACCCTTTAAACTCTGAAATCTTAAGCTAATTATAGCTCCCAACCTACCTGAATCCTTTCTTCCTTGGCCCATCACACGTGATACACGGATTTACAAGTCAAGCCCCCTGGGTCCTACATCACATTGGTGTCTGCCTTGGATATTTTGTGTTTGTTGCGTTGTTGAATGTGTGTAAGAGATTGAGAGATATTGTGCATGCATGTGTTGTGTGAGCAGAAAGACCAGAAAATTAGTTAGGCATTATGCTGATCACAAATGAAAAAGGTTAACCATCTTAAATTTGGACCTTTTTTTTTGAAGTGTATTATTGTAAATGTGGACTCTTAGAGGGCCAATCCCTTCTTTTGGACTCAACCTATGAGTTTTCTGATGTCTTCTGCAGGTGGTGCTTTGATGTGGAGTTGGTGTATCTGTGCAAATACCTTAACATCCCCATGATCGAGATCTCCGTCAACTGGTCAGAGATTCCTGGTTCAAAAGTGCGCATGACAAGCATCTTGCACATGCTCTTCGAACTCTTGCTCATCCGCACTGGTTATGGCCTTGGCATTTGGAAAATTCGTGCCTGAAAGGAGTTTCCTTAGGTCCTTAACCAAATAAGCTTAATGTACTGACATGGATTGAGTATACAGTAGACAGAGAGCCAAGCATGAGTAATTATCGTTTACTCTCATTTTGAGGGAGAGGCGGATGTAGCATATTTTGGACATTTCATGAGCAGTTAGATGCAGCTGGGACACAGAAGATCTTGGTCATGTTATAATATTCTTTTGTACGATAGGTATCTGCAGATTTCTTTCTGTCTTGTTGTTACACGAACACTTCTTGAAATTGGTTATTAACCAAAGAAATGGTTACACCAATTTTATGTTGTCAAGCTCCTTGTATTAAGGGGAGAAGACTTGTCTTCTTGAGTTGAAATTTTCTTTTTCTTAGGGTTTCTTATCAGCTGAAATTTGGCCGATGAATATTGCCAATTTTTCAGTATAACAATAGTACTCGTTGAAATATTTCCACATTTGGGGATGTTCTTTTGTGCGTGGTTGGAAGCATGTCACATTGAACCAAAAAGATATGGAATTTCTCTATCGAGCGTGTCATTTAAACTAAAAGAGATTTGGAATCTCACTCTCCCTAGGCATAGAAAGAATCGACTTAAACATGTCAAACCTGGCGAGCATGGAAATATTCTTTTCGGAGCATGATGGACGAATTCACTAATTCAGTGTCCCATCTTGAAAAAATAAAGAATCATTTCAATACATAGGCGTCTGTAATGGCTGTGACAAAATCAGAAGGATGGCTTTGGAAATAAGGAATATGCTTATGCTGTGCAGCACCAGTCATCCATTTTTTTTTTTTTTCTGTTTTTTTTGTTTTTGGATAATTCAGTGATAAGCTTGAGATGTAACATTTCTTGATGTCAATTGACAACCACTCAAGCCCAAGAAGTTGAATGGTCTTAAGCGTAGTTGTATGTGGATTCAACTAGTGAAGCATCTAAACTTGTTTGGCTTCAAAAGTTTGACGATTGGTTGTTTCTTACATAAGAAAAATCAAGTAGCAGCTTCACCAAATGTGACCAAATTCTTATGAACCATGTTCCCCTGTTTCCCCTCTTGTAATTAAAAGAAGAGGATGCGCAGTTTAAGGAAAATCATACACAAATTATACACTGAATTTTTTCCAGATTGTCAATCTTTTGATTGGATTTTCACACTATTCCAAAAAGAATATGAGATCAAATTATACACGACATTACAAGTTCGAATTTCGAATAAAAGGGGAAAAAGGAAACTAATTGAATTGTTAACAATTCAATTTGTACATCTTAGCAAGAAAAGCTCAGTTTGAGTCTTGGGAATACTGAGACTTAGGTTCTACGAGCGTGACAAGCAATTACTAGAATTTGGAGAAATGCCCAACTGCCCATGCAAACATGTACTTATGTTTGAGTACATTTTTATTCCACTAATCTCATCTTACAAATGTCCATCCATCTGTATACCCATTATATTGATTACATTGAAATTTCTCTTTTGATAGTTGTATTACATGTAAGTTTCATTACACAACTGTACAAAGCATATAAGGATCAAATTTAAAGGAGGCCCAAACCCAAATATAAGGAATGCGAAATAAAAAGAGAGAAGAAAAAATACACAAGGCATCACCTCAAGAACTGATCAATGTTTAAGCTGATTCACTGTTTCTTCTATGAGATCATCCAGTATCAAAGACTCCAACTCTGCACCCACACCATCAATATCAAACCGAAGGTCCATCCATCCGTCCCTATGGCTAAGATCTCTTGTCACTATGCTTTCAAGTGTGGGATCGGCCCCAAGGCATGAATGTAGGTGCCAATTTATGCCAGACCAAACTTTCTCAAGAACATGCTCACCCGAAGGCATTATAGGCCTTAAATCCATCTGACTGAGAGGGCAATAACCAAGGGAATGCCTTGTTTTGATCTCCAGTAGAACCTCATTTATGCAATCAAATAGCAGATGGTGATCCCACCGATTTGAATTATCATTTGATATTGTGGAGTTCATGGGTTGATTGTGTGAGTCCCATTTCCCCAGAGACCACCCCTGGCCATCACATCCAGATGCCTCAAGCATGTCTCTCACATAGGTAAAATGAGCTTCATCTTTTGGACTCATAGCAATGAGGTAATGGTCTGAATGTGAAGATGAAGTTATGGTTTCTGTTGTGGTCTGGTTTACAATTGCTGCATCGGATGGTTGTCTCGAGCTCAGGTCAGAGTCTGGCTCGTCGAAACAGATGTGCCGTGGTTGTAACTCTGAACCTGTTTAAATCACAGACAAGAATTTACAAATTAAAGTTCTCAAGCGAGTTAGGTTATGGGGGAGTTAATGGTTCTTTGAGGATCAATGAGATATGAAGTATTTAAGGGTTAGCATTCAATACTTACGTGTTATGGTTCTCCATCAAATGGAATCTTGGGTTTGGGTCCAAATAATTGCTTGTCACTGTTAGGGTTTCAAAGATCTAAGGTTGCAACTAATTACTGGTCGAACTTCTATGAAATTGTTAGATAATATATTGTTTAGAGTTCCCAAGCTTAATGTTACGGTTCACGAGCAATTTCTGGTAGAATTTCTAAAATGAAGTGCTCGACAACCATAAATTATGCAGATACAGGTCAGGCGCATATAATATATGGATAAGGATACATGTCCCAGGATTTTTGTGCTCTTTTTCTTTTTTTTCCTTCAAACCAAGATGCTGCCAAGGTAAACTCATTTTGAACATTTCCCTTTGTAATGCAAATATATACAGTTGGGTTTTAGGATTCCATATTAAAAAAAAAACAATCTGCCTATTTAATTGTCAGAATAATAACCATGTCAAGTGATAAAAATGCCAATATATTTTTAAGTACTGCGATAAGAAAATCATACCATCGGAAACCGCAAGGTTTTGTGGAGTAGCAAAATCCTCCCCAGGAGACAAATCCAAAACTGAGACTGGACTTGGCCTTCTTAACTTTGCGGTGCCAATTTCTTGGGTCCCAACTTCCTCTTCATGTAATGCTAAAGAGCTATTGTCTTCCAATATTAAAGCATCAAGCTCATTGCTGGTTCCAATCTGTTCCAAATCACCATCATTTCTAGTGTCCAGCACAGACGTCCCCAAATCTCCATCATTTACTTCTTCAGGACATTCCACTCTTTCCATGGTCGAAGAACTGTCTACCCCCGAATTATTTGCGTCATTCACTAACTTATCATCGTGGTTTAGTTCCTCCATCACCAAAGCTCCACTATCCAAACTACTGTCCACCTCTAGAGGGTTCCTCTTACTCTTATCTGCTAGAGAAGATGCATCTACCTGCACAACTTCGACTGAACTAAAAGACCCATTTCCCTGGCTGTGTTCATTTCGTATTTCTTTCTCTAGACTAAGTGGCGCAGGGGGCATGTACCCAGGCAATGACAGTAATTTCCCTAGGCTGTTTGAATCTCGTTTACTCCTTACACCTTCACCTCTATCTCCCTGCTTCATTCTCTCTAAAAGATGCTTCTTAGCTTCAATATCATAAGTGTTTCGTGGACTGTCTTTATCTGTTTTTGTGTCCTTTGATGGGTCCATCATCTCTTTATTGGCATCTATGGCATGTTTCTTACCATAAGGGACTCTATGGAGAATCTCATCCATAGAAATGCGGTGCCCCTCTTTCCGGCTCTCTTTGATCGCCTGCTTTATCTTCTGCTTAATGTCCTTTAACCTATTAGCAACTTTTCCACTTTCCCAAAGATGTCTAAACCCATGCAGTGATTGTGGAGACGATACTAAAACCGACCCATTTCCTCCATTTCCATGCCCTCCATGGCTAGGCTTTAGAACAACTATTCTGGTTGGTAACCAGAAACTGCCATTTTCCTGATCATTCAATGACGCATTATTCATATACTGATCCTCAAAAGAGATTGCAGAGATATCTATGTTTGGCGGGTTCTCAACACGAAACCTTCTCTGTCTGACCAATGACCTGGCTCTCCCTTGTTTGTGCTTGGTGGCTTTTGGAATGCATTCTGATAGATTTGCTACCTTCTCAGAGTGGGAACCCTGCATTTCTTGAATCTGGTCTGTTAAAACAGAGTTTGGGTCTTGTAGTATTTTGAGAAATGCTTCTCGGTTAGAATTAAAGATCTCTAGAGCATCAAGAAAATCTTTAGATTGGTAAAGTGCCACATCTCTTGCAAGTTCTTTCGCATCCACAAAGTCTTGCTTTAGAAAAGCCTCCTTTGCTTTATCAAGCTTTGCCTGTAGAAGGGCATGCTTCTCTAGTAACTGCCTGCTAAGTTCATCAAGTTGGGTCTGACCGAGATGGTTCAGACCGTCCCTTGCCATATATGCCTCACATCTGTTGTCATCCCTTGGTTCTTTTGTGTGCGATGAACAAATATCACTCGAATCGTTCAGTTGGTTAGGGAATGTTTCACTGGTTGGCTTTCCAGTATGTAAAGGCGAAATCCTCAGATGTGCTTCCTGTTCTTTGGACATTTCTTCAGCAAGTAAAGGCGAAATCCTCAGCTGTGCTTCCTGTTCTTTGGACATTTCTTCAGCAATCCATGATTTCATACGTGCCCGAGACAAATTTCTCTTCTTAGGCGGGGTTTCTTTCAACTTCTCTTCAAACTAAAGCATTTAAAATGCCAAAGTGTAAAGTGTTAATCAAGAAGACATGGTCATGCAATATCTAATGATTACCGGAAAAATCCGACACAAGGAGGTGATGTGTGTTCTAAAATTTGAAATTTGTATATAACTGGAAAACTGGATAATGAGGAGGAAAATTAGTTAGAGAACCACAAACTCCGTTCCATTAACCCTCCGTCCCTCACTCTCAGTTAGTTAGGAAGATACTTGTGAGTTGAAATCTTTAACTGAAAAAAACACTAGAAAATTAATTCAAATCCATTGTTTAAAATGCCAGATGTTTTAAGTAATGAATACGAATTCCAAGAATATAACTATGAAGCGAGTTTCTCCAGAACAGAACTCCTCAATCACCAAAATAAGTACATTAAAAAAAAAAAAAGTGAAAAAATTAAGAATAATTCTCATAATACAAATCTAGAACCTGCATTATAACACAGAAACGGTTCACTTACATGTAAAACATCACCACCTGCCTCCATGTACTTATGAACTTCACAAGAATCTGTAGCTTCATCGAAATCAGTTCCCGAAAATTTCATACCTGCAAATAGAAAAGTTAAAAGACATTAGCATACACGACTCAAGAAACAATGTATAATTCAACAGCATGTATTAGAAGAAAGAAGTCAATACTCAGTTTTCCAGAGTCCATTGAATTATACCAAACGTTCCTTGATTACTTACCACCCAAATGTCGATCATCCCAATGCCTTTTGTCTGAAATCATCCTTCTCAATGGATGCCTACGATGCAAGTCCAAAAATTGAAACAAACCCCACATACAACCTGGGTGGTCATTCTCTCTATATGAAGGAGAAAGCTTGTATGCCACCTGCTTTGCCATGGCTTAATGAAAAAGCTTTCTAGTTCACTTAAATCAAATAATCCAACTCAGCAACCACACATTCAGACCTGCTCATAAAAGGTAGAAAAAACCAATGCATCAATCAACAAGAAACAACTTAAACACCAACTTCATAGAATCCTGTGGTATTAAAGAACACCCAATTCTTTAAACTGCAAACATGTCAACAACAAAACCAAAGCAGCAATTATTCAGGCATCAAAATCATGGCATGTTTCAAATGGTGAAATAGAATCAATGTTTCCATACAAATAGCATCAGTTCTTTGAGACAATTTTTTAAAAAGTCATTTATTTTGAAAAATAAAATTCATTTGGAAAGATTGACACAGAAAATCAGGATGATGCCAAAGAACTCCGCTACAAACAAAATGTGCAAGTGATGGCAATAATTTTCTAAATATAGATCAGACCAATGTTCTACATTACCAAAACCGAATCACAAAAAAATGCCAATAGGTGCAGTTTAGAGCAACACTAAGAAAGCTGAGACGTAAATCTTTCCCATTCTCATTTTGAGGGTGACAATTGCTCTTGCATTAGCCGAGACTACCACGTTTCTCGCACATACTGAAATCAACCTTTCTCAACTTATCTTGAGGGTGAGAATGGTTCTTGCATTAGCCAGCAAGGGTGCAATCGTTCTTTGGTTTTCACAATATACTCAAAACACTTGAAGCAAAGTATTACAAATTATCGTATTCACAAATATACCAGAATGACTACATTAAAAAACCACCATCTTTTTACACCCTTGTAGCTTAGGAGGAACAGACACTTACAAGAACATTATCGGATAGCCTAACACTGCATGTCAACATGTTTTTCAATAAAACTTCAAACTTCAGCAACATTATATGAAGAGAAAACCTACCACATTTACATTGCATAGGTTTAAAGGCATGTCAGCCATATAAAACCCAGCCAAGGTCTCTGTGCCATGTGGATACATTTGCTACCATGCTAATATCAAGATCCAAATATGGTGGAGGAAACTGCACCTCAAGGAAATTATATGAATAAAATTTTACATATTCAACTAACTACAACTTCCTTAAATTGACCCTTGAGAACAAGGATGGCACTTAAAGGGGTCCATTTTGATACCTATGACTACCCACGTTCAACGTGGGTATATTAAAAAGCAAGACAGAGACATAAGAAATATGAAAACTTGTGGGTTACATGTATAAGCATCATACATGCAATTTGGATGTGTTTCACACTGATTTGTGAGTTTTTATTGTCAAACGTCACATTTTGTACTTTCCCTTTTTTCTTGGATTTTTCTAAAATTCTCCAACTGTAAACAATTTTTATCCATGTTTTTTATATTTTTCAGCTTATTGGGATACCTTGTGTTAGGTTTTTAGTTTAGTTTCACTTTTAAAGTTCTTATTTAATTTGTAGCAATTTTTTAATTTTTTCAAAATTTTAGGGGTTTTTTGGCCCTGTAATTTGCCAGCGCCAAGAACGAGCCCAGAGAGTAAATAAAATAAAATAAAAATTGACACACATATATATAGTATGAATTACCTTTTTATACTAAACCGGAATTCGCTCTGTTGTGTCTATGATTTTTTACTGGAGTTTCATTATACAACGTTAGCTTTAGAGAATGAAATGAGATAAAACAATAATAAATATGGGAAAAAAAGAAAGTAGTAGCATCTTTTCCAATTTTTTATAACATCAAAATTGTCAACTTTTTTGCATTTTAATTTGTTCTGAACTGTTATTGGTTATCGTGTAAGACTGTTAGAGACCATCTACTTAATTCACAAACAAACTAAAACATAGTAAAATTACACAAAAAAGAAGAAGAGAGAATAACTTAGAACCAACAAAAGATACAATAGAATTCACAACAGCTAGATAGTAATATTACCCACCATTAATTTTCAAAAGTATTACATAAAAATGACAAAACTATTCAGAGAAATGGCATAATTGGATGCACTGACAGGTTAAAAATGCATAGATATTTTCCTTTCATTTTCTTCTTTTTTAAAATTTATGGGTTCTGTCTGCAAAATCAACAAGCACCTGCTAACCATCCATCAAATTCACCAATATTTTCTACAAAAAAATATATATAATAAACAATCCTGAAACCCAAATGGCTTTCCTCACAAAATTATTAATCAGTAGAAAAACCCAATTCAAAAAATATGTAATTAAAAATATTAGAAGATGGGAAAAAAAAAGAAGATAAGCGCACGTACCGGAAGAGGGTTCGATGAGACCAAGCAATACGCAGAAGGCGAAATGGAACTGAGAGAGCCATTTTGTGGGTTTGTAGAGAGAGAAAAAGAGTGGGTTTTAGAGAGAGAGAGAGAAAGAGTCCATGTTGACACGGAACGTGTTGTAAAGAGACGGGTGATGAGAATTAAGAACAATAAAATGGGTTAAAAGGAGCTGAAAGTCACGCCTGAAATTCAAGAAAGGGAAGTTGAAGATGACAGATGGAAAAGACAGGCGGTAGATTTGGAATTGGGAAACAGAGCGAAGATTGTAGAGAGAGAGAAGACGAGCGATGATTTTAGAGAGAGAGAGAGAGGAGGGTAGAGAGAGAAAGAGGGACGAGGGTGGCCCCTCCTCTCCTCCTTTTGAGGAGCAACTTCCACCATTTCCTCCTCTCATTCACCAAGTACGCTGCGGACCGCCCGGCACATATTCTGCTTTTGCGTTGGGGTCGGGTCCGGATTGCGAAAGAAACACGTTTCCAGTTGGCAGTTGCCATCTCTCTCTCTAAACTCTCTCTCTAGAAGTACAACTTAAAACAATGAACACGTATGCTGTGTTCCTTCGGGAGCATAATTGGCTTTACTCCCTATTAGGGGGATGATTTGTTTAACCTGAAATTTTGAGAAGAATTAATAGATAATTGCTCACAAAAGAATTAAAACTTAAGTTTTCTCAGATATCACTATATAAAAATTAGATGGTCTTCTTTTTTTTTATTGAAGTTAATATATGGGTTGAAGATGTTATATCTTCAAAATTTAGGGCTTGAAATTAACTCTAGTTAGGGTTTTATCCAAGTGACTTAAATGGACATTCTGCTCCTGTGAGAGTAGAATATCAGTTGGTAAAATAAGTTTGAGAAGCAGTTTATAAGGCTTATTATTTTAGGTTTTGATTATAAAATTTTAAAAACAAAAAGTAGTATGGATGTCGTAAATGGCACTTAAAAATAGAGATAAAAAATTGGATGCGGTTTGTATAAGGCTGAGGTTCTAAACAATCAAAGTAAAGCACAAATTCAAATAGTATCGAGAAATGTAGTTTTAATAGTGGAAATATTTGTAATAGCCTTAAAATATTTTTTCATATCTAATTATAAAATTTAAAACTTAAAACATAGTGTAGATCGAGTAGATCTATGAAAACATGAAAATCTTGAAAATTGACGGTCTAAAAATGCATCAAAAGATACACTATTTCCAAAACTTGAAATCTATTTTTTCTTCTCATGTCCCCGCATCTTAAGGTCGAGATGATCAATTTGAGGATATTTGAGCATCAAAACAATCTCTTCTAGTTTAATTTTTAAGATGCGACCTAATTTGATTGTTTAGAACCTCGCACTTATATAAATTTTTTCTTAACAAATAATATGTTACAAGATACATTATTTTCATAATATTAAAATATATTTTTTAACTAAAATAATATTTTCCGGGATCGAGATCCAGTGTATCAATCTTGAATTCCTTTTGAGTCCAAAACTGCAATTTCCTTTGATACTTGTAGTGGGGCTTCACTTTTGTTTTCCACAAGTCTTGTGCCCCATGCTAGCATTCTCTATTAAAAATAAGCTATGATTCACACAAAACAGGATCCCAGTTTCTCTCTCTTCAAACATGGATCTAATGTTCCCTTTGTCACGTTTTCTACGATAAATGACAAAAGATTGATTATTCCCCAACTCTTTCTATTTTTCAAATGATAAGTGATCCTTCTCATACTCTTTTCTGCAAAGTGAACATAAAGTAATGAATAATCGATCCCTACCTTTTCAATCTTAACTTTTTCCTAGAGATTTTTGCTCAGTTCTTACTTTTTAATCTGACCTTTTCTATGGGGTATCGTTTTTCAACATCTTCGTTATCTGAAAGTATGCTTTACCATGATATTTTAAAATTCAATGCATAGGTTAAATTTAGAAAAGACGTGGGGATTTATAGTCTCACTGAGGATACGACTTGTAATAGAACATAATGACAGATCAGGATTTGTGCAGTCAATCGAAATTAATTAAAAAAAAGCTATGATGATAATGATGTTGATCCATGGGTTAAACTTGTTGCCCATATGTTTCGAGCTGAACACCCCGATTTGATGACTTGGCTCCACTCACCTAGTCATATTAAAAAAAAAAGAAAAAAAAAGGCGACTTTTTAAACTTTTAAAAGGTTTAAACAAGGCCTAGGAGCTTCATTTCATCCTAAAAATACTATTTTTATAATAAAAATATTTTTTAACGTTATTTATATACTTTTTTGTTCGAGTCCCTATTTAGGTGGGGACTCGGACGGGGTGGTTCAATCGGTGGAGTCGAACCCACGATTTTGGAACACTACTTTTATTTTTTGAATGGTAACGTATGACTTATCAGTTATTCATATGTAAAATACAAGATGTTCAAGCAAAGACGCAAGATTTCAGAAACGAAGTAATAAATAGATAGGGAGTATGGACTCCTCTTTTGGCAAGAACATCGACATATTCATTTGCCTCTCTATAACAATGTTGGACTGTTGTCATAAAGGTTGACAAAATATCCAAATTTGATAAAAAATAGTCCTTAATCTTCAAGGAATATGAGTATCTCTCTTACTTCAGGCAATGACATTTGCCGAGTCTCCTTCCATAATTCTGCCCCTTTGTAAATTGCATAGCAATTTCAAACCTTTTAATAAACCTTGTGCTTCCGCCTCGTTTGCCGTTGATAAGACTTTTAGGAATAAATCCACTATCCTTATGTGTAAGGAACCAGCTGCAACAACTAAAATATTCGATTTTAATGTAGACAGATTTGTACTTATACTATCAAACACTCTTCTATTTCTTTCCTTCCACACATTTCGAATAAGGCTAACCCAAATAGATCTCCAAAGAATAGTTCACATCTTTAAAATATCGGGTGTGATCTATTGGTCAAGAAGAGCTCTGACATTTTGGGGCAAAGGTAATGACAAATTGAGGCACTATTGAGCCCAATTCCAAAGATGTGTAACAAAAGGGCATGAGCGGAAAAGATGTTACAAAGTTTCATCAATGTCTTTGTATAGGATATATACATTGGTGATAATAAACCCCCTATTTCTCAAGTTATCAACAATTACTAATTTATCTTGACACATGATCCATAAGAATAGCTCCACTGACACAGGTTCCATAAGTTGTCAACAATTGCTAATTTATCTTGGAACCTACTTTACGGCATTGCAAAGGAGCTAAGGGACCATTCATCAACGATGTTAATAACAATATGTGGAGATTAACCAAGAAATAAAGAATCTCCCTCTTGCCATTAAAAGGAAAATGGGAAAAAAATAATTCATCTCTCATTAAAAATCCTCTCTCCAAGCTTTTCTCCAATTCACTTCCTTTTCAAACACTTACATGTTTGGTTTGCGTGAAAATGTTTTTAGAAAATATTTGCAAATGAAAAAATTCTCTCATATGATTAAGTATGATAATATTTTCATATCAACTGGTCTTAGTGTATCTTTTCATACCAATTGAGAACTAATTGATGTAAAAGTAGTCTCACACTTAACCATATGAGACAATTTTTTCATGTGAAAATCTTTTCGAAAAAATATTTTTACAAGAACCAAACATGTTATAGCTGTCGCTCTTGAATGTTAACAGTTATTATCATTAATACAAGAAGCAAAGCTCCAAAAGTATAATATCATCATTATAATCATTTTAACCTTTTTTCAATTAATTGGGGTCGGCTATATGAATCTAGTTATTCATTCTGCTCTATTAAAGATCATATCCTCGATGAGCCATAAGTCTCTATCTTTTTTCAAACTACTTGCAGCCATGTCCTTTTGGGCCTATCTCTTTTACTTTTCAGTCATTCCACTTGAACTAACTCGCACCTCCTAATATGCGCTGTACTTGGTCAGCGCTACATATGAACAGCCCATGTAAGTTTACTCTATCTCATTTTATCGCCTATTGGTGCCACGTCTAAATTTTCTTGAATATTCTTTTCGAATTCTATCCCTTCTTGTCTTGTCACTCATCCATTTCAACAGCGTTATCTCCACTACACTCATTCTATGGGTATATTGTTTTTTGTCCGCCTAACATTGTGTCCTATAGAGCAAAATTGATCTCACTGCAGTCCGATAGAACTTGCCCAGCAGCCTCATTGGGATGCGACGATCACATAAAATTCCAATTGCACATATCTACTTCGCCCACCTAGCTTTAATTCTATATGCGAAATCTTCTTCAATCTCTCCATTTTCCTAGATTATCGATCCAAAATATCGAAAGTACGATCTTATTTGAACTTCTTGACCATCAATCTTGACTACTTCCTCGTCTCTACTCCTATTCTTACTAAACTTGCACTCCATATACTATGTCTTAGTCCGACTGATTTTAAAACTTTTAGATTCTAGAGCATCCTTCTAAAATTCTAACTTTATGTTGAAGTTGTGTGAGGCCTCATCAATCAAAACTATATCATCTAATATAAATGAAGAAATAAAAAAAATACACAGTACTCCCTACTTCTAAGGATGAACCAACTTGACTCATGAACGCGTAAAAAACCCTAACCTCTAAAGGCTCAAACACCACCTATTACCTAAGATCCCAGCCCAGCTAATACCACAAGGCACTTCACTTCCAATTCCTTCACGATCTGACCTCAATTTGCATCCAAAGTACTCAATTGACCTATTGCAGTAACCTTAAGGGCTGGGGTTGGGTCCTACACTGAAACAGTGCCCAAAAGAATGGCGAGCAAAGCGTGGCAGTGTATAAGAGGCCGCGGCAACAAGCAAATCAGCGACCAAAAAGAGGGACAAAACATGCGCCAGAGGAAACTTAAATCAACTATTGTATTCACTGTGCCCCAAAATAATCACAAAATTGATTACATGATTTATCTTTATATTTGTTGTGTTCACTTGGACGACCAAGTCGATCAACGGTTGAAGTTTAGGGACTTTGAAGCAAATTTCCATCAAATTTGAAGGTTGAATTCTTAGACTTGATAAGGGAAAACTTGGACTAATTCTAAAGAGGCTGCTCTTCAAATTTCACCTACCATTGATATTTCCATCATGTTTGAATTATTTTTCGTTTGATTACCTTCATAATTGTTGAAATAAGCAAAATTTAATCGGAATGATGGACTTATAGCTTCATTGAGGATATGACCATTGATAAAGTAGAATAACTGACCAGAATTCATGTAGACGATCCCAAATAGTTTGAAAAAAAAAGTTTGATGATGATGAACAAAAATGTAAACGGAAGTTTATCCGTCACATATGATGAGAGGTATATTCTGAAATATATTATGCAAGTTTTAGGGAAAATAAATGAATAATGGATGTAGTAGTCACTTTAACTTGGATTTTTTTTTTTTGGCCAAAAATTTTATGCTCCTACTTGGATATTTTCTTTTTTGCCAAA